CATTGGCTTACCTTACCCAATGAGGTCAAAATGGCAGAATGAACAAGACACTCAACCAATGGGAGTTAGACATGTGGCATGAAGTACAGGCTAAGGGGTGAATATATAAGAATACCCCTGTTGACATACGACAACCTCAGGCAGGCATTTAATAAACCCGCAGTTGATGGGACATCCACGATGGCTTGGGAAACTGAGAAGAAGGAGCATTAAATGCTCCAAGACCCGACACTTAACGTCTGCGCATAGAAGGAAAAGCATTAAATGCTCGGGAGCCCGAGCAATTAAAAACGGGGTCTCCCCCATGCAAAATAGGCGGCGCACTGCCCTATGCCTGTGCTACACCTACTACCTCATCGATCAGTAATGATGAGTCTTTGAAGGTATAAATAGCTCTCTAAAACTCAAAACAAGGATACAAAAAATCATCTCTCAAGAACACAAAACAGTGTTTTCTTTTTTCCCTCTCTTAAAGAACTAACTTGATCGTCAGAGGGGATACACCAAAAAATACTCCGGCGCCTTTCTAACCCTTCTTTTTGTGCCAAGGATCCTCTACTGCCCGCTAGGATCAATCGGACAACCTCTGAAGTAATTCATCATCACTCCTTAGGCTCCTTTGTCCATCTTGGGCCTCCCTTTGTCACAGGATCGTCAACTCTCTAGATAAATACGAGCTCACTGAAGGAGAGATCTATTTATATATCTTTATTGTGCAAAAAACATCGTGCACATCAACAAACACCTGATATGCAATGTGGTGGGGCCGTTGTTGATGGTTGAGTGAAGGGTTCAAGAGTGGTTTGAAAAGGATAAAAGGGGGTGGAGGTTAAGGAGGTGGTTGAGAGGCGGTGAATGGTGGAAGTGGTTGGGAGGGGAGGTGTCTTGGTGGGTTGAGGTTGGAGGTTGCGCAGCCTCTCAATGGGTTGGGCTTGCTGGGGGAAAGGGTGGGCAAGGGGAAGGGGTGGACGATGGTGAAGAAGAAGGCGTCTAAGGGGTAAGGGAGAGGTTTTGGTATGTTCCAAAAAAACTTCTTCCTCAATTGGGTCCTCTTTTTGTTCATTCATTTTCAATTAAATTAAAAATGAACTGAATCTAATAAGATTTCTTAACTCATTGTGTAATTGCTAAATTCGAGTAATGTATGACTCCACTTGAATAAACTTAGCTCAGTTTGACTCAAATATGTTTACGTGTATAAATAGTTTTTATTTTATTGTCAAATAACTCTACTCAAAATATTAACGCTCTCAAACTTATCCTAAATTAGCTACATATCGCATTTGCTTCTCTCTCATCTTTTTCTCCTCTAGATTTTTTTAGGGATCTCAACTTTGAAGGTTTGATTATACAATTGATAATAGATTTTGGGAAATTTTTATCAGAAGAACGATCATTTTAGAATTCATTATTAAGTTTATGTGCTCTAATTTTTTGAAACTTAAAATGAAAAATTGAAAACATGCTCAAATTCAATAAGCTCAATTCAATTACAATATGCAACTGGACTCCCTTGTCCACCATCCACAAACCTCCTTACCCTCGGAGGCCCATTACCTTCCACATGCACCCTTCATTCATTCGGATCCACCAGACTCCGCCCCTCCCCCACCCCCCAAACCCACAAAAACACACACACGTCTCCAATGCCCAACCCCCATCCCCATCCCCACATCAAGTCCTCTCAATACACCCCCGCTACGAATGTTATGATTGGTGTTGAAGTTGACTTCAAATCAAGTTTGAGCCAAAAAGCTCACCTCGGCACCAACCAAAATTTAGCATATATAGAATCTGAAATTGTTTGCTAGGCATGAGACTAGGTTGACTCCACTGACAATGCAACAACATCTTCTTTCCTTCACAAACTCAGGTTTGACTTGAGAGGAAATTAATCCATCATAAAAAATATTCGTGTTAAGTGACGTGTTGAACTTAAAGGACAAGTTACAAATATTTGAGATTGATCACAATATTTTGGATCGATCAAAATATTTGTCGTTGACCATAAATAATCTCAAAAAGAGGATCGATCAGAATATTGTGATTGATCATCAATAGTTTCAATTAGTTGTAACTTGATTTTTAAAGTTTTATTTTTTTTGTGATTCGTCATAATATTTCTATGATCGATTCTAACTGTTCGAGTTGACAGTAAGACATTCAAAAGACTATATTTTTAGTTTTTTGAAAAATTTGGAGGTCAGTCCCCTTTGTAGATTTATTTGATGATAAGTTCATCAAAAAAACTTGTTTAATATTAAGTCTATTTTTATCTTCATTGTCCAAAATACTCTTAGTAGTTATATTTAATTAAAACAAATTTAAAAAATAACAATTCTTAAATTTTAGAAGTTTAACTAATATTAAAATTTTTTCTCTCATATCTATCTATATATAAATTATAATTATTTATTTTTCTCTCTCTCATATATTTATATAATAAAATAGTTCAATTATTTGCCTTGAACTTTTTGTGACTCAGTTCGTTTTAATCTGATGGTCTTAATTAGACTTCCATTTTTTTTACAACTCTAAGGCTCTCATCTCTTATAACTCTCTCTATCTATCTATCTTATTCTCTTTCTCTCTCATACTATTTTATTTTTTTTCCCCGGTGTTGTTTTTATTATGATTGACTCCATAAAACAGATGAAACTACATGTTATGCAATTACTTATTCCATGAAAATTAATTAAAATTTTTATATATCTGATGACATGTATTTTTTCACTTGTTTCTTAATTTGTAAATAACACTTAATGTAAATAAAAAATAGCACACTGACTATAAATAACAGATAATGTTCAGCACGAAATGAACCTTAGATTGTAAATTAATATATAATTTTATCAAAAATTGACATTTAATTTTGTTCAATTTACATTCAAATTTATCGAATTAATATCAAATTAATTTTTAGTTTTATCAAGTTAATATTGAAATTTATTTAACCATTTTTTATGAGTACTAAATTACATTAATTTTTTGAGTATTACATCAAATTTTATTTGATTTTATTAATTTTTTAATTTTTTTGGTACTAAATTTGGAAAATGAAAATTGTAAAAATAATAAAATTTTTTGTGATGAAATTATCAATTTTCGTTAGCACCATTGACGAAAGAGAGACAAAGGGGGTCTCCGTATTATTTATAAAATATCAGGAGGTATCCGTGTAATATTGCCAAAACTTAGGGGATATCCGTGATTTTTATCCTATTTTTAATTAAACATTAGTTTATTATTATTTTATCTTAAAATTATATTTCTAATAAAAGAAGTTATTCGTTATGAGGGTTTGTTAGTAACTAAAAAAGAAATGTGTGTGAGTGTATTTCTATGTATATTTATATGTGGAGGATTGAATATTTGGTAATTAAATTTATAATTATATTGTGTCATTTGGGGTTGATTGGTGATAGTGATGATAAATTCATGAGTTTTATAAATGAGCAAGATTTTTTTGATTTTACTTATCGCTTAAAGATTGCGAATTTAATTGTCTTCTGTTAGTATTTTTTTTTTCTTAAGATATTTATTATGTGGAGATAAGGTGAATTTGAAATATAGTGGTTGAGTTTATAGTTATGTTGTGTTATTGAATTGACTTAAGGATGTCCATAGGCTAAGTTACCCATGGGTCCCGCTATCTAGCCCGAAAGAATAGGCCTGAAACCCGATAGATCGAATAATTGGCCCGCCTGAAAAAAAACCTGTTAAAACCCGGCCCAAGAGCCCGCCGCCCACCTTTTCTTTGAAAAAAAATTATACTTTTAGACCATTAAATTTAAAATTTTGAAATAAATATCCAAATGTCATAATTTGAAATTTTAAAATTTTAAATACTATAAATAATATATTATTTTATTTTTATATATTAAGCATACAAGTTTTAAATGGAATGCAAATGATAGATAAGTGAGTAGGTGTCAATCTAGTTGAGATATATTTATTTTATTGGATTTAGTTCATCCCCTAATCAAAAATAAAATTATTCAATATTTTATTTTTATCCATTTTAACTCTATTTTTGATTTTAAAATATAATTTACACAAATACTAAGTTACAAAAATATTTATTATATTTAAATGAAATAGTATATAAACAAATCTGTAAGCAGGCCCCGCCTAGCAAGCCCGCACAAAAGGCTCGCCACATAGGCCCACCCAGAAAGCCCTTCTAAAAGACCCGCCTAACAAGCTCGTAGGTTGGACTAGGGGTATTTTACCCCTACTTGAAGCTCGGTCAAGCCCATGGACACCCCTAGATTGAGTGGTACTAAAGGAGATAAATTCGAGAGTCTTATAAATGAACAAGATTTTACTTATTGCTTAAAGATTATAAATTTCGATTGGTTATGTTAGTATTTATATTTTTGCAGAGGCATTTGTATGTATGATGTTGTTTTAGAGAGTTTTTATATATTTTTCTAACAGTTCTATTAATATGGAAAATATAATCTACGATATATTTCGAATAATTTAAAAAAAAAAGAATTTGTATGAATATTTTTATGTCATTTTTTTTGAATTTTGACAATTGTTTAAGATTTTTTTTTATTTATAGTGCTTTTAAGTACGGGCAATGACTCATATATATATAGTAACATTAATAACAAAAATAGTAACATTCAAACAAAAAATAGTATCATTAAATACAAAAAAATAGTAATATGTAAACACAAAAAATATTAACATTCAAAATTAAAAAATAGTAATATTAAATATTAACATTTGAAAAAAAAAATAATAACATGATGAACAAAAAAAGTAACATTGAATATTGACATTTTGAAATAATATTTAATATTAACAGTAATATGCTTACAAAAAAAATAGAAACATGCTTAATAAAAAATAGTAATACACAACAAAAAAAAATAGTAAATTAGAAAAAAATTGTATCGATATAATGTCGTATTCTTTACAAAAATACACAACTCCCTCCAAAATTTTCACAATATTTAATGGTAGTCCAATCCCTTATTCTCTCTCCCCTACACCCCCTCATCACCATTCTCATTCGCACCACCACCACCTTCAACCATGAAGGCCGCAGTGATCACAAGCTCCTGCGGCCCAGACGTCTTGCAACTTGAAGAAATCTCAAACCTAGCAATCAGAGATGACGAATTGTTGATCAGAGTTGCGGCTACTGCCCTTAATCGGGCCGATACCTTTTGGGGCAAAGGCTTATACCCACCTCCCAAGGGTGCTAGTTCATACCCAACACCACCAACACAAACACCAACACCACCACAACCATCACTGACATCATTTGTTCCACCTTCTTCAACTCTGAAACCATCTGAACCGCCATTTCCTCCTCCACCCATTTTAGCCCACCCACCACCAAAAACTCCACCTCCTCTGTGTGATGTATTTCTTGGTGGTGTTGATGATTCAGTCTGCCTCTGTCTGATGTATTTCTCTCTCTGCTAGCTCGAGAGAGGAGAAAAAAGAGAGAATAACCAAATAGATATTTTGAATTTGAATTTGAATTTTAAATTTATGATAAAAATTTTATTAACATATCTCCATTGATAATAAATTAAGGGGTAACAATTTCTAAGATAAAAAATTAATTTCAAACTTGTTTTCAAGGAAGAGTATTTTAGAGTTTTAAAAAAGATAGCGGATTTAAGTACTTATAAATAAGATTAAAAACGAACTTTTTTTCAAATAATTTTTTTTGACGGACTAAATTCATTATAAATCCTTTAAGGAGAATTCAACCCTAATTTTTATTTTTTTTAAACTTTTGATATTGTACCAAATGAGGTATCGTAGTCATTCACTTAATTTGAATCTTCGGTATCATACTGTAAATTATTATACATAAACAAATGAGATTATAGCTCGATCTCGTGAAATTATAACAAAATAAGCTGTCTAATATCAATCCTAAAATTTGGGGTCAATCTAACATTTTAAAATTATTTTTTTTTTTGTGTAACTGTAACTGTAACTTAACTTCATCAGTCTATTTTCGTTATTATGTAACCTAAAGTAAATTATAATTAGCTTTTATTTACTTATAATTTTCACCTTAGTATCTTCTTCAAATTATGCTTACCCATAATATAGGTTGACAAGAGATGGGGATGTGTGTTTACTTTGTCCAAAAAAAAAATAAAAAAATACAAAGGAAGAAAAAAACAAATGAAACAATTGCATATTTTGTGACTATGAATCCCGTCGTTCCCTTTTTTATGATTCATTTGGTATGATTGAAAAATAGCTGGATGGTAATGTATGAGAGATGAATAAAATATTTTTGTTTCGTTTGAAAAGAAAAGTGGAAGGATTAATATTCGTTTCGATTCATCAAAATCTGCATCATCAATTAGACTTCAAAAAATACAAAAAAAAGCATACGGGTTTTAAATGTAAATTAATTACTCTTATACTCTTTAATATATATTTTATGGGTCTACAATTGATAGTAAATTTTCATACAAGGATATACCAGTAAAATACGCATGTTTCCTTTTTCTTGCCTTTCGTTTTTACATTTATACAAAATATTAAGGTGGTCAGCCTTCTTAGTTTCTATCACTTATACCAAACATGAAAAAGGGGAGAAAGTTTTTATTTTTTTTTTGAGAATAAAAAATATAGTCCTCATATTTTATTTTTTCCACTTTTTCATCTATCCTACTAAACTAATCACTAAAAAAGATCAATTTTGTTCCTCTTCCCATTTTTGTTTTGTTTTGTATGCAGATCATATAGAAATCAGTCCATGAAATTTGTGGTCGTGCCAAGATTTCTCTTCTTTTTTCAATACCTTAGAATTTGTAATAGACCACTCAACATATCCTTTAGAAAGTATTGTTCTTTATGCTCCATTTGGTAGGAATGATAGAAAGTATAAAAGATGAAAATAAAAAAGATACATTTTCTATTTTTCAAGATAGGGAAGTAGGAATCATATACTTTCTTTCCTTTGTGTTTAATAGGATGGATGAAAAATAAAATAATTAATTTTTTTTATGCTTGGTAAGATGAAAAAAATATTTTTTTAATTTTTTAATTTTTTAAATTTTTTTATTTTTTTAAAAATATGAATACATATTTTATCATTGTATTTATATATGAAATTAATATATATACATAATATATGTATATATCAAATGATATATAAAAAAATAAGATATATTTCAACACACATAATTAACTTTCTATCAACTTTTCTTCCAATTTTGGGAGAATTGATTTTGGTTAATTGGAATGAAAGTTCATATATCCATTTTTTCATCATTCCTTACTAACACATGATATTTTATCTATCTGTCCAACTTTTCACCCTTCCAACTTTATATCATTTCATTTTTTTACCGTACGAAACGGAGTTTTAGTATTACACAATTATTTACAAGAGTTCCCACTGCACCTATATTAGAGTTGAAGCTAAGATCTCATCGTGTACTCTACTCTATGCGTCGAAGATTTCTGTTCAATTGAAAACTAATACTTACATATGCACTTTGTTTTGAAAATAGGTGTCAAATAGACTTGAGTTGACCTTAGAGCAACTCCAATCATATTCAGCAAAATAATTAGTCAAATATATGTAAATATTGTATTATCTACTTTATCTAACCATTTTTTTAAAATCCACTACAACCACGCTTTTCATTTTAGTCAACTATTTCAACTAACTTTCAATAATAGCAAATTAACCACCTATTTAACTCAAAATCAATAGCAAATTAACCACTTATTTAACAAAATATTAATACCAATTTGACTACCTATTTAACCAAAAATCAATAACTATTTAACCACATATTTAACCACAAATCAATATTAATTTAACCACCCATTTAACCAAAATTTAATCACAATTTAACCATAAATCAATACTAATTTAACCACCATTTATCCAAAAATCAATACCAATCAATAAATCAATAGAGTTGGATTTTGGCACCAAAGCAATGGGGAGGGGGAGGGGTTTTCAAAGCAAATCAGGGGGGAGGGGGAGGGAGGGGGTTTCAGCAGCAATCGGCAGCAAAACAAATCAGTAGCAACAACAAGCAACAATAAGGAGCAGCAAGGAGTAGAGGGGGGAGATGAATACCTGGTTGTGGCAAGCAAATTTGGCATCTCCAGATCTGGCGAGCTTGAAGACCCCCTAGATTTTAGCAAGGAGAATGACTAGTGTGTTGAAACTGATTTTTGGAGTGAAACTTGCTAAAATAACTAAAAAATAGAGAATGACTAGTGGTTAGAGATGCTCTTAGAATGCAATTGTAATGCCCTCTTCACCATCACCACTTATGCTTGATTTCTTCTAATTTTCTTATTTGCGTTACTTTGATTGTAGGAGTTACCTATAGTACCAAGGAAAAAATATTTGAAATTGTACTTATATTTATCATATTTGTGAGTATTTTTATTATATTTGTGGATAGTTTTACCATATTTATGGATATTTTTACCACTGTTATAGTATCGAAAAAAGTGGTAAAAAAATAGTAACCATAACAATAATAAAAACACCCACAACAGTAATAAATCATCTACAAAAATGGTAAAATATATATATATATATATATATATATCGAATAAAATGATAAAAATAATTGTCACAACATTAATAAAAATACTCACAACAATGATAAATCATCAATAAAAGTGAGAAAATTTTTTATTGTAACATGATCACCCATAAAAGTTATAAAAGTATCAATTGAAGAAGTAAATTTTAGAAATACAGTATCGAATTTTTTTTATCGGTACATAGTCAAGTCCTTGATTGTATCATTAGATTCAAAATCAAATTCCAAACAAACTCAAGGCTGCCAATGCATAATCATAAGGACAATATAACATTAGAACAGGTAAGGTGGGTTTTTTTGGGGGGAAAGGTTTGGACCTTGCGATGAAATTAAGGACATTATTCATGAGAGAGAGACAATAAATCAAAAGTGGTAATGAATTTTGGTGTTAATCATCTATGCAAATGTACAAGATGGGGATAAGTCTTTCATTTATACTAAAGTTTTGGAAGACTTTGGTGGGAAATAGTCATCATGTCTTATTTAAAAAAATGTAGAACTCAAATTTACCGTGTATCATCTATATCCATATAACATTACAATTAGAGAGTTAAATTCTTAACTTATCGAAATACAATAACGGTCAAAATTGATTTAATTTTTTTTTTTTTTTTGCTTTGATCAAATGATACAAAATTCATCAAAATTCTTTTTCATGCAAAAATATCAATTTATCTCCACGACTCTCAATGTCAGAAAAACTCAACAAACATACTCTCTGATTCCAAATAACCTCATTAATTCACACATATTTCTCTATTTTCTCTATTCACTTTAATTTTAACTTATATAATTTAAAAAAAATTAAATTATTATTTAAAAGTATACGTATTATATAATCAATATTATAATTTTTATATCTATATAATAAAGTAACTTACAATTCAAAACTCAAAAGATAAACAAAATGACTGTTGCTATTTGCGGTTGAGATCACTTTAAATTTTACTTTAAAGTTAATCTAACGGCTAATATTAACATCATAAATTTAATAAGAAAAATAGGTATCTAAGAGTGTTTGAAGTGACTTTTTTAAAAGTACTTTTAAAAATTATTTCTTATAAATACTTTAAAAAAAAATAGTGTTTAAAACTGTCCCACCATTACCTCTACCACCACCACCACTGCCACTACTGTCGCTGCCACCACTACCACCCCTACCACCGCCGCCATGACCATCAACACCATCGTCGTCGCCTCCACCACCACCACTGTCGCCACAACCACCGTCGCCATCAGGGTCATTACCACCCACCACAACCGTCATCGTCTCCTACCATCATTATTGTCGCTCACCACCTCTCACCTCCATTACAAAAGCTTAAATTCATTTATTTGTTCTCTATATTTGTGATTTGATTTTGGATATAAATATAAATATATTTATTATTTACTAATTTAATTTTTTGTACCTTCAGGCACATAGTCTATATAATAAAGTAGTTTACAATTCAAATCTCAAAAGATAAACAAATTGACTTTTATTTTTCGCAGTTGAGATTGTTTTAAATTTTATTTTAAAGTTAATCTAACGGATAATATTAACACCCTAAATTTAATAAGAAAAATAAGTCCATCATGGTGTGTTTGGATTGACTTTTTAAAATTATTTTTTATAAATACTTAAAAAAAAAATAGTGTTTAAAACTGCTCACCACCACTCCCCCCACCACCATCATCGCCTCCGCCACCACCATTGTTGTCGTCAACACCAGCCCCCATCGCCATCGCCATCGCCATCACTGTCGCTTCCAATGTCGTCGCCATCACCGTTGCCACTACCATCGCCACCGTTACTACCACTATCACAATCATTGTCACCCACCATAACCATCACCGTCTCCAACCACCACTATTATCGCCCATCATCTCTCATTTCTATTACAAATTGATGCTTAAATATCTTTATCTCTTCTTTATATTTATGATTTAATTTTGAATATGAATACATATTATTTAATATTTTTTATTATTCTGTGCATGCAATAATTAGTTATATGATATTTTCAGATACGATGTTATTACTGGCAGCCTATATGATTACGATCACCGATTTTTATCCAAACTAAAAAGTATGTCTTGTATAACGAACTAACTATCACTTTTTTTCTTCCCCTTTGTTCTCAAGAGAAAAAATAATGGAATATTTGATGTAATATATTTTTCAAGAACAAATATTTGCTCACGCGCGTTTAAACCACGTGAAAACACTCTGCTCTTAGACCTCAAATTCACCACACTACTCAGCCAGAGATTCAGCGACTATTAATCAAGAAACACGCGCGCGCGTCATCTTTCTCTTTAAGGTTTCCAATTACGTAATGAAAATAAAACCAAAAAGCACAAAAAACATAAAACATTACCCTGTCTATACCAACACAAAAACGAAAAAAGAGTCGGAGAGAGAGAGAGACAGAGAGCATCCAAACAGCGATCAGAGAAAAAGGGCTCGTCAATCTGATTCAAGCGAGACATAGGAGGGGTTTGTAGAGAGAGAAAATCAAGGGGAAGTCGAATGCGAAGCAATTGTTAGAGAGAGAGAGAGAGAGAGAGCGCGAATTAAATAACCAGAATGTAAGAAGAAGCTACATGGGTTCCAACGAACAAGTCGCTGTGAAGAACACAGTCTATTCTGAATCTGAATTTGGGTTCACTTTCTGAAGGTCCAATAAGGTGAGCCCATTAATTTTTTTTCTCTTTAGACACTTCAATTTTCTCTCTGTACAAGCTTAAATCTTTCCTCTTTAATTTCAATGGTCTCTGAAAATTTGAACTTGATGCTGATATTTAAAAACTTGAGCCAATGGTATTCTGAGTTTGTTTGAGATTTTTGAGTGAGATATTGTGATTTTAAACTTGTCGAATTGGAATGAATTGGGGTTTACTTGGAGTTACAGAGAGGTATCTTTTGTGGGTTTTGGAGTTTGTGGGGGTACACATGGAGGGCTGGTGTGTTGGAGTCTGGAGGATTGGAATTTGAAAATTGAGGCAATTGGGTTTTTGGAGGGAGAGTTAGTTGGGAATTGGGGTCTCTGGTTTTGAACTCAACCTCTCCAATTTTTGTAATCTTAGGTTTTGAGTTTTGAAGATGTGTTTTGGTTCAGCATTGTCATGGTTGCTGTTTGAGGTATTGCAGTTTGGGTTGGAGATGGTTTTCTGGAAACAGAGCAAAACCCTAATTTAGTGGTGAAATTGGGTCTCAAGATCTGTATTTGGGGGATCGTTCAGTGGATATTGGTACTCTTGGTTGTTGTGTGCAGATTTTATGTGTTGAGAAATGCAACCGCCAAATCAATATTCGCGGGTCAATCTCACTGAATTGAAAGCTCAGATAGTGAGGAGACTTGGGCCAGAGGTGTCCAAGCAGTATTTTTATTACTTGAATAGATTATTGAGTTTGAAGCTAACCAAGGTTGAGTTCAATAAGCTTTGTCTTAGGATTGTTGGGAGAGAGAATATTCCACTTCACAATCAGTTCATTTGTTCGATTCTGAGAAACGCCTGTACGGCAAAGTTCCCTCCGCTGTCGTCTCGTGATGAGGGAGTCTTGAAGCCTACAGGAGAAGTTGGGAATAAAGAACCTCCAAGTGATAGGCTCAAGCAAAATGGGTTCCATCCTGCCATTAGTCATGCTTCAAATCCACCAGCTTTTTCAAATGGGGACATTGTGCCTCTGTCGCCCCGAAAGGCCAGGACAGTAATTCGTGATCGCAGGTATGGGGATCGGGATCGCCGTAGTTCACTAGGAACAAATGATAAGACAAATTTTTCTTCTCAACGATTATTGGCCACACATTCCAGTGATTTTAATGTTATTTTGGAGAATGGGGATTCGACTCTGACTGATACTCAAGGGCCGGTGCAGCATCATCAAGGACTCACACAACAAGCAGATAACGAAGGGGGTGTATCAGGTCACCAGCCTGCTAAAGTCTCAGTAATAAAGAGATCACCAGGTGGTCCAGTTTATGTACATAACAAAGACCATACTGAATTATTAGTTAGAGAAGATGGGAAAGAGGTATCTGCCAGGAGTCTACTCAGTGCTCCATTAGGGGTTCCATTGTGCCCTGTTAGTGTGGGTGGGGCCCGCAGGGCATTGCCTTTGGAAAGTAGCAGTAAATGTGTTGGCTCATTTAGCAGTGGTGGTTTGTTAGACACTGTGACACTGAGGGAACGCATGGAGCAGATTGCTGCTACACATGGCCTTGAAGGGGTTTCAATGGACTCTGCAAATTTGTTGAACAATGGGTTGGATGCATATTTGAAGGGTTTAATTAGGTCTTGCATTGAACTTACGGGGGCAAGAGCAGGGCATGAGCCTTCGAAGAACAGTATCCACAAGCACCAAGCTCATTTGCAGCTTGTTAATGGTGTGAGACCGGGTCACCATTATCAGATTCAGAGCAGCAACCGGCCTTTGGAGGTAATGCAAGAAGTTAGACCCCATTGCCCAATATCTTTGCTTGATTTTAGGGTTGCAATGGAGCTGAACCCACAACAGCTTGGTGAAGACTGGCCGTTACTGCTGGAAAAAATATGTATACATGCATTTCAGGAATAAAAATGGGACCAAACTATGTTGTCATTCAGATGGGCTTGGGTTGGTCTCTACTGGATCAAAGGGCATCTTTTTGGAACTTTTCTGATTTCTCCTTAAAGGCCTTTTGAACCAGTCTACAGCCCTTGAAGGAAAGCAGTGTCCCTGACAAGATGATGGGGACTAGAGCATGATATCTCTGTATTCTTCAGCTGCAGAGCTCGTCCTCAGTCAAAGAAACCATATTTATCAGCAATGAAATTGAGGGACATGAAGGCAAGAATGCCCCTATGGGTTGCACTGTTGTACAATTAGCATATGTCTCACTGCACATTTTCTGCTTTTTCTGTAAGTTACAGTTAATGAGAAAATTTAGACAGTTTTGCAGGGATAATTGTGATAGTATGAAGTTGAATATGCATGATGCAAAAGTTCTTTAGAATTTACATTTCTAAGAGTTCATCGGAATCTCAAAATTAATGGCATCATTCACCAGTTAATTAATCTTGAGTATGCTACTGTACTTTTCTGTGAAATTGTGTTTATTTCTCTACTGGTCAGTGGATTGAGCTTGCTATATCTTCTTCAAATTTCGATTGTGTACTTGGATTTCGGTTTGTGTTTCTCACAAAATTGCTACATGATTATTAGAAACCTTCAAATTGCACCTGTTTAGGACCAAAGAATGTCCATACGAGCATTTCTTTTGTAAAACACTAACTACTAGTTGTTTATTGTAGCAAATAGAAAAACACTTGTCCTTAATTACTTAACTCAAGAAAGTTGTGTCCCAACATTTTTGGAGTCAACTACATGAATCTTGTTTTGCCGTTGTGTAATTATATACATTTTTTAGCACCGATCGTACCAGGGTTCGTTGTTGGGAATGTGAACGAGGCCCCCACTGGAGGAAAACGAGCACATCTCGGGGTGGAGGAGTGTGTTGAGGGCTTGTGAACCCCTTCTCAAATCTGCTATGTCTTAATAGATTTGCCGGTCTACTTTGCACATATCGACAATGAAATAATTTAAATGTGTGAAGTCTATCATCAGTACAGTCTATAACATTTGTAGTCCATATGGAAACAGCATGTGTCCAACTTCGGACATGACTAGAAGAGTCTTGAATAGTGAACTTAAGTGGACATGGCCAGAATACGGTTAGGACACGGTTAGCATACTTTTTTTTATAAAAAAATGACTGTTAACTATTAATAGTGGTGCGTTTTTTTTTTTAATATATTTTTTGTTATGTAATTTGTATATTATGAATGTTAATGTATATAAATGATCTTTAATGAAAATGGTGGATATTTCTATTTCAATTTTAATTAAAAAGTTAATATTTGTTAGGTCATATTATTAATATTGTTATAATATAGTGTTATTGTTAATATATTATAACTCTATTATTATCTAACAAATATATTCTATTATTTTAATGGATGTATTTTTGTTGTCCTATATTCTCGAATTTTGTCATATTCTCGTGTTCGTATTATATCGGATACGATACCCGTGTCTGCATCAGTGCTTCCTAGGTGGTCAACAATGTATGTATATTTATACCCACAGTACATTAGAGTTAGCTGTGTGGGGCCCAAATGGGTTCCACCAACAGTTTCGATGGAATGGCTGTAGATACACCCTTCTTGCCACCTCTCCACAAATACAAGTAATACTGATAATTTTCTTGCAATAAGTTAGTGGACAACCAATATCAAGATTTACTAGCAATCCTTCAAGTTTGCAGTTTGTTGGCTTATAATTTTTGCAGTATCATATCGCTTACTTCTTCCTTCTACTATCCCCATTTATTCTGTTCTTTACTTCAAACAAGCTACATATATCCACAGGAAGATATCATAAAATCTTGCAGTTGATCTAATTTAATTCCCCTTTTTCCAGTCTTTGGCTTCAGCAGTATGCAAATACAGGTCAACTTGCTTTTGAGCAGGGTGGTGAGGAGCTGTTGATTGGAAATGTCACCATAGTTGGTTCATTAATGTTTATTTTTTAGCTTACTCCTGCCCCTGTGATGGCTTAGTAAGTATATTTTTGTCAACTTGAAAGTGTTTTTGAATGGTTACTGTGTGATTTTCTATTATTATTGCATCAACATTGGATAATGGTTACGATGCAAATAAAAAAATTTGGAGTTCTGGAGATTAAATTAGCGCATAAGTTATTTGATGAGGAAGAAAAGCTTTTTTTCTAAGGATTATAATGCAATCATGCCCTCTTACAATGAAAGACTAGGCAGCTTTTTAGGAGGGCAAAATGAAAAGGTGACTAGTCATTTGTATGTTCAAATTTTTAAGCTTTAATAATGTCTTGGCTCCTAATAACAGAAAAAATGCTGGTTTCTTGTATACAAATGTGTGACAAGAATTTTATGATCTCCAGATTGAGTGTTTGCAAGCTCACATCTTCACCTATGTTAGGATTGGTTGGCATCTTATTGTCGCAACAGCCATGCTTGGAGCTTTGTTATAAAAACAAGGTCTCTTTGAGTTCATTTCACTTCAAATCTTCACCCTACCTCATTCTTCGGTATACTCCTGCTACTGCCACTGTGTTTTTCTATGCATTTTTTTTCTCTAGGTCAAACTTTGTATGTTTCTTGCATTATCATTATCAATGCATGAAAGTTGTGACTTGGAAATACTTATCTTCTGTCATGGTACCACTAGGAACAGCTGTAAGGATGGTAAAAGCAGTTAGTACCTGTAAAGTCTTGTTCGAAAATGATATTGTATAATATTGGACATAAATCTAGCATTTGTTGACTGACTGGATGTCATTATTCCTACTATTTTATCAAGAGTTGGTACTTCATTTTTTTTAACCAACTAAGTAAACAAAATTTAGAAGGTTTCTGGTGAGCTTATCATTGGTTTAGTGGAGTGTTAGATGTAGATTTTGCTTCAGTATGATTTTTATACTGAACATGCTCAAGTTTATTCGAATGTTAGTGTTGTTGAAATATCTGCCAAAATTTTCATTTCTGTGCAAGATTTCCATCTGATTTAAATCTCTAGGATAAAACGGTAGATTCCAAATTAACACCATAGAACTTATAGGGATACTTATTTGAAGTTGGTCCATGAAGCCCTTCAGAAAACAAGTGGTGAAGAAGTGGACTATGTTAACTGAATTAATTGATATCCTCAATTTCATCAACTTTTTGACAAGCAAGTGCATGAAATGATAATGTTCAATCTCTTTATTACTTTGGTTGTAGCATGCTGCACAGACCCCCCAAACTCACTCACGCGACAAAAGAAGGCTTCAAACTAGTGTACAGCTGTAAGCTAGGATATCCATTCCTAGCCATGACCCATTATGTTATATATATCAAAATCAAAAGAATATTTCAACTTCTGCTGTGCATTGGAAATTATGTTTTTCGGTAACTTTTACCCCTTGAAATATTACGGCTTGAAGAAAAATGTGATATTGCATATTTCACACACAATTCTTTCCATATTTAGAAAAGTCAGGTAAGGTTGCTCCTAAACTAGCTTACAACAGTCTCTTTTGATGCCCCACTTCTCTTTCTTCAATTGTTTAGAAGGATATCAGAGGATAACGTGGTATGGCCATAACAGCTTAGCATATCTCAAGTATTTTCTTAGGTTAGTTTTCTTATAAAGACATTTCTCTTTGTACATGTACCGACCAAATATTTCTCATATTGCTCCAGGCAATTGTTAGCAGCAGTTAAGGTGGGACCTATAAGAACAAGAGAAGAGGGAATGTTGTCTGAAAGGATTTGACCATGCGTAATGAAGACCAGTAAATGCACCATTACTGGCTATGGAGTGGATTATTTTTATGTCAAATGCCAGAAAAGCAAGGGGAAGGCCAAAAAAAAACGTAGGTTGAGACAATGTGAAGATCCTCAGATTGTCAATAGATCTGAATGATACATAGTATTCAAATTGCAGATTTCTGGTAATTTGCAATAGGCTTTATTAGTAAGGTATCATCAACCACAATAGATTGTTCTAGGAACTACTTAACCTTTTTCCCAAAAGAAGAGGTTTAGCTGATTTGTATCTTGGATATGTTCCTGTAACCTGCATGATGTTGCCGAGCCTTTGTAAATTTAAATTCAGGACATCCTATGATTTGACTACTTAAGCAGAAGTCTTCCCCATGGAAACACCGCCTGTGGCGTTACTTTTTATATGGAACCAGAAGCTGCCTGTAATTCTTCCTGGAAGTTCTAGTATGTTCTTAATGCTCTGGATCATTTGGTACTCTGGTTCAGATGGAGTGAAAATATCAGAGACTCCAGATGATGTAACATGGACTCCAGATGATGTCACAAATTATGCTTTACCTTTGCAAAACAATCATATTGCAGTCGCTTTCTTTATCATGGAGTCATAAAGGTTTTTGTTGGTTAAACTGCTGAAATTGCAAATTGGGTTATTCTTCTTGATGTTACATTGACCCTACATGGTTAAAATGTACCAAGGTCATCTAATCTCAATCTGAAAAAAAAAAAAACGCGTGAAAATAATTTGTATTATTCTCTCTTGTATAGAAATTCAATATGTAAATGTATTCAATCATATAGGATCCCAACCCAAATTTGATACATGGACTCAGTTTTTTGTATCTGGAATCCAGCAGGAATCAAACTTGCACATTTAGTGTAATATTTTGTTAGCAATGAGCTTCGGAATAACTTATATCTGATCTGAATTTTATCCTATGACAGGCTTGGGATTGAAGGTGTTGGGGTTCCTTCCTGTCACCCATTTGGAACATCTGAAATTCTTGACAGGTTACATTATCTCGTTTCTTTTTGTAGTTATTCCTTTTTAAGCATCTGGAAAGCGCATTATGCTCTACTAATTCAAAGCCATAAGCTTTGTTGTGCCAACATTACTTCATGCCAGAGGCTATGGTTTCTCCTGTAACAAGACCTCTGACACCTTAACGAGGAGAAACGCGTCTAGCAGAACTTTTCATTTCAGTGTGCAATAACTAGGAAAGGAATTGAACTTCTATTCTATTGGCTTACAGATGATATGTAGAATGATATACGAGTCAGTTCAAAAAAAGAAAGAGAAGATATATGAGTCCGTAGTCTTTTATGTGTGTGTGTGAGTATGCTACGTTTCCTTATAGATCTCGATACAACCAACATTGTGGCTTGTTTTTGGGTGCTTTTAACTGCTTATTTTTTAACATATGTTTTGGTTGAAATTTAACTGTTCTGAGGATATTAGTTTTTCTGCTACCCGGTAAGCCTGCAAAGTAGAATTGTAGATTGGACAAAAGATCATTTATCGAGGAATTCGCTTCGCACTGGTTCGCCAAACTTAATCCAACCCAATACAATACTTGATATAGACAATCCAGGAAGTTATTATCGGCTGGAACATTGTTAGAAATCTCAGCTTATGATTTCTACATTTTCACATTGCAAGATTTCTTACCAAAAAAAAACATTGCAAGAATATCTTGTCTTAGAGCAATTACTTTTCACCAATACTATTCTCCCTCGGACTAGGGATTTAGATCCCCTCCACTGTTTTTTCCCCTCTATTTTCCTCCCTGGTAGATCGCTTATCATGAATTAAACGGGACTAATTGTATATCTATGGGTTTTCTTCTTCTGAAAGAAAATGGAGGATAAAAGCATTGGACGAGATCTCAATCCCTCAATTAGCACTACCCCTACATTGAATATACCAAATTTATCTGCACTTCACTATGACAAGTAACTGTGACAAGCAATTTGTCACCTGAAAGAAAGTTTATTGCCTTGCTGTCGCTTAGTTACAAAAAGAATTTGTTCATCGACATCGTTTGGACTTTGGTGTATAACCATTTCATCCCATCTTAGGAAACATATGAGCTTTTCTTAAGCATTCTCACTACAAAATTCCGATTGAAGTAAGACAAGGAATTAAGGGTACATCATCCTGCAACGATACAAAACCCGCCTTTTGTATAAGACTCGCGATCTCATGCACTTCACGCATCACGGGGCTTTTCCTCAGCCTGAAAAGTGATATTGCCCTCCTTTTCCTGCACATTGGAACTATCTGTTTGTTCAACACTAGGCATTACTCCATCTTCCACCACAGGTGAATCGCCATTCTCTGTTATGCTCTTTTCGGCTGCATTTTTGACTGGTTTTGGCAGTTCCCTAGAACGGGAGGTTGCTAGAAGGCGGCCAATTCCATCAAATAAATTTTTGGCATCCATTATAAGAGCAGCTCCACCAGGGTAACAACGACCAAAGCATGTAGCACAATGTGGGAAAGCCACCTGAAAAACATAAAGACAAGACAAAAATGCTATTTGATGCACAAGAACAAATTGTAAGATAAAACAAACACAAGTTTGTTGAAGATCACCTCAATGAAAGCTCGGCAAAGCGAAACAAAAAGTACAGACTCATTCGCTCTGAGCATCCGAGTAGTGTTGTATCTCAATAAAGAATCCGAAACAGCGTGCAATCCCTTAACTAATTCTTGAGCAAGCATATGCTTCAAACTAAATGGGGCACAGGGACGTAATTCATTCATTGCTGCAGATACACCTACAACCACCAGAAACAGGGGGATTAGGTGTTGCACAAATCCATTTTACCACTCAAATATGTTTAGCAACACCCAAGTATCAAGTCAAAAGTCATCAATTATTAAAGAATTGATAATAATAGATATTCCATCACAAATCTCAGCTAATGATTTCTACATTTACATGTGCAAGATCTGTGCTGCTAGAAGGAGAATTTTATTCTTTTTTCAATGGTAGGGAGCGACCGAGAGATTTCCTTTCTTCTTGGAAAATGAGAAAGAAAGACCTGATAATGAGGATGCCTTGCAATTTATGATAGATCATGAGGTGCCACCCCAAGCCCTCCCCTTCTCCTTTTGGGTGGTAGAATCAATTCTAGTGTACGTGTTCAACAAGATTATGAATCTAAGCCATTATAAATAGTGGGAAAATCTAATCTGAATGCATTTCTGTTATACAATACTCTCCAACCTCCACAAGCACTGCCCCTGACATCGTTTTGGCTTCTATCAATTCTCAATCTACACCAGATGAATTGAAATCCAAACAAACAAAGAATGGAGGCCTCGAAAACTGACACCATTTTTATGTCAAGGCCGGATTTGGATGGCAGGTAACAAGTACAGAAATGGTAGTCGCTTTCCTATTCTATATTAGACTTCCATGAATGAGATTTTCAGAGAATGGATATTTCATTCCACCTAGGAGATTGTAATCTCACATTCCTGACAGAGATGAACAATAGTTCCACAAAAATACCATAAATAGAACTTCAGAAAAAATCATGCCCTTATAAAGCATAAGAACTACTAGTCCATTAATTAATCTTCAAAGATATAAGAACTTTTCCGATACCCAGACTTACTGCTATTTCACACAATTGAACCAGCCAAGTGATGATTCCTTTCAATTCTCTCTTATTATTGCACTTCATTTCTCAGCCCAGCACACAAAATTTGTTGTCTTGGTCTATGCAAGAATAATACTGGGGCAAACTCGCTTCAATGAGCGGGGGATTAATTACATGTCCATACATTTGCCATATTTTCTCATCCTCACCTCAATGAACAAAATTTCATTTCAAAACAGCCAAAATGCTTCATTTCCAAAGAAACAAAACCAAATCAGTGATTGAGTATCAAATTTCCTATTTCAAGGTGTTTCAATACGTTTTGAGGTATTTCAAATGTTCCAGAAATATTTTCATTTTTTCCTGTTTCCATTATATTTCAAAAATGTTTGTGAAACGTCGAAACGAAACTTTCATCCTTGCCCATTCTTACATTAGCTTTAACCTACAAATTTAACCCTTTAAACTGTAGTTCATAAATCAATTCACCAGCACACTGTCTCGAAAAACAACCACCAAATTTATGTTCTACGCAAGCAACAACTTGTCCATTGCAAAAATATCAGACAAGAAGACATTTAAGCTTACCATTAACAAATACAGCAAGAGGTGGATGCTCCATTAAATGTGACGGAGGAGTAACATCTTCCTTAGTTTCTTCACCTAAACTATGGGCCGGAAAGCCAACTGCTGGTAACGGGACCCAGCGATGAGAATCCAAGACTAACTGGAGTGAATTAAAATACATATATTAACAATCTTCACAAGAGGAGTAAAGGTTGTTAGCTTCAAGACAAAATTGAAGCCTAAAGTGCTCATTTGCGTGCAAAACTAAAGTCAACAAATAACTACAATTTTCTTCATTTTGGAAAAAGGAAAACTCTTGTGAAAGTAACAGAAAGCAAACAAGAAATTTCAACCACTTGCAAGTATACCTGGAAATTCCCAACAGCTGTGCTCATATTCTTTGAGAATAAATTAAGGACCGCTCTGCGTAAGTGACAATCGAAATTAATAAGAGGGTTAAGAGTGGGGACTCATGGCAGAATGAAAAAGCAACTAAATAAATGAACCAAATTATGCATGCATTTACTCTTCAAAAAGTGGGGGAAGCAAGCCCCTGAAGTCCAATCCAACCCAACCAAGCCCCATAGCACAATACTGCCAGCCACAAAGAAAGAGAATCTTGTCAAATTCACGATTCCACTCAATGGATTATGTTCCAAACAGTGTTGCACCTTAAAAGAATTCATAGTGCAAGCCCCCAAAAGAATTGCATATAAAGGGCACAAAAAGCTACAACTGATTACATTTGCATCACAAAGACATCACTTACAATGAATATAATTATCTCAATGTAAAGCAGGGTAGTTACCACTGTAATGAGTTAATCTCTGATGATAATTTCCATCTTATGTCATAAGCTTAAAAAATGTGGTCACATTCCACCCCAGGGTAGTTTCCAAGTTCCAAACAAATATGTTTGGAGGTAATATCTTCTTTTTTCTGAGATAACTAACCTCTTTAACTTTAGTTATAAAAGAAACAGGCAACCCATTGTTCATCAGAAATTAGCTCCATAGGGGTTAACTATTAAAGTTATAGTTCAGAATTTGAGATTCTCTCTGAAGAGCATAATTTGACACAAAATTAAGCTTCTGCTGATAAGCGACTCAATCCCCATGCATGCACAGGTATGAGTTTACACAACTCACAGGTCATGGATTCTATGTAGATCAAAGATTATTCCTCATTCATATCCACCCAAATGAAAGAAGAATGGAATGTCATTATCATGCCTGATCCTAATGTAATAGCCACTAAATCCCAAGGAGTTGTTTTGGAATAGGTACCCGTACAAGTTCTCTGTGACAAAAGACATATTTTCAAAATAAAAGTTCAAGCAAAGAGTGAAGATGCAGACCGTTTAGTATTGCAATAAATGGCCGGATTACACATATCTATTATAGGTTTCAAAGTTGCAGTTGCAGTAGACATGCAATTTACACAACCGTAACAGTATGTTCTCACCATGCACTGATCCAGGATATTCGACAAAGACCCGCCTTCAGATATCTTGGGGAGCATGACTTTGAGAGTTTTAAGGTGAGAGGCAATTTGATGCATGGCCCAGCTGAACAGAAGCCCACCATCATAGTTTTCTTCACTTCCTGATGTATCATCAGCGAATATGGCTCGGTATTGGTTAACAACATCAAAAAGATGTGCCCTCTGACAGTTTACCATTCCTTTTAAGTATTCATATGCATTTCTCTGGTCTAAATCATCAAGAATCCCAGTAAGCCATGCCTCTCGGCATCTTAGAAACTGTTGCACAGGATAATCTAGGTCAGCAACAGGTGTAAAAGGGAAGAACATAAATATACTCATCAAAACGGAAAACATGGAGACCACGTAAAACCAAATGCTTTTTGCATAAAGGTTTTATAAAGCTACCTGAAGACGCATTTCATATTCGCTGAATACGCCTATTCGACGTAGATATCCAATAATGCGGAGGCATTCTGGCAACTGCAATACACAAGGATATATGCATCAATGGGTTGAAACTTGAGAACCATAATTCTACACGAGTAAATTTGTGTTAAATATACATTCTTATCCTATTATTTTTGGCTATTTCAAATTACCTGAATGTTTGATCTGAGTTTCTGGAGAAGCTGAGAAAGAAGAGACTGGGTGGTCTGCCGAGTTTCTGCTGCGAGTGCTTGAATAACAGGTAATCTTTCAAAGGGAAGAAAATCAAAGAAAGGGAAAAAAATACAGAATGTTTTCAGTAAGATGCCTTAGTGAGGTTGACAGCTGAAACTAATGTGAAAAAGAATAAGTCTAAAAGATTACTCACTTTGGGTGCATTGTTAAAAGTTTGGAAACAAATGCTTCTAAGTCAAGAGCTTCATCGTAATTTCCATTCCTCACACATCTACAAATAGATGAAATTAAGTTATGCTTCCCGTTATGTTCCCAATATGTACAGATATGTCGAAACATATAACATCGGTAGTACAACACTTATGGTGGAAAAGGCACTTTAATTACCATAAATAGTATGGTCATGCATGATAGTACTGTCAAATTCTCAAAAATGACATCAAAAACTAAGTATATCCCCAAACTCGGTAACTATGATGGCTTGACCAAGTACACAACCTAAATAGATTATGGATCTTCAAGCACGATCAACTATTTTCAAACACGACAACAAAGTGAACTTCTGAAATTTTCCTAACATTGCTGACAATTACATGAATGAATGGCATCCTACAAAGTAAATCTACAAAATTTAACAAACTTGTTGGCCATTTCAGCTGGTCAGTAAATTGGATATTGATCTAATTTAACATGTGATCTTCACAACTTGTCAAACACATACGTGTCCATGAGTTGAGGAATTTCAAGCAAGTCAAGCAAAGTACTATGATTGGCTAGCAAGGTTTGGTTCATCTTTCTCTTCTCCAAAATCTGTTCTGCAGAGCCAACAAACTCGGTGCAGCCAGATGTTACCTTCGGGATTTCAGCTATCTGCAGAGGAAAAACGACAAGCATCAGTCATGTTAATTGAATTTCTATCTATCTATCTATATACATATATAGTAAAAGGACTACTACATCATAGGAATGAAATTTCTTCTAAATCAATTTCTGGCTTGAGACTAACATCTGAAACATCGCCACAGCAAATTGAAGATGTTGGGACTTGGGACAGTTAACTTACAATATCTAGCTTGGAGTGTCTGTATTGTGGTCTTCCAACACCTAATCCAAAATCACCTTGGATTTTCATCTGCAACATCCTTTTATGATGCAATTTACATTGATTTCTACTTTTTCAAGAAAGCAATCACTCTAATTGTTTCTGTTCTGACTTTGAAATGGGAATTTGAATATATAGCAAAAGATTTACCGATGAATGGACCCAAGTCTCCATAACTTCTACTTGATTCTGTCACTTCCTCTCTATTCCTGACTTTATCTATCTACATCTAAATTCTCTCTATACTTGCACATTCTAATAAAGAAAATACACCCTAAATATAATTCAAACAACAAAAAAGAACCCATTGCTGGTGGCACATCTCTTAAACCGATGTTCAGCAGTTTCGATGTAATGTTGTGAAACAACCTAAACAGTATTAGAAATGGTACGCAAAATACGTTTCTTCAAATCAGAGGCTATTGTCTAGTTAAGTAATTTGTAGCAAGGATATTCCAATGTCAGAATTTAAGTTCTTAAGCTCAAACCGAAACTTACAAATTGACAACAGTACAAATGAAATGACATTGTACATAGAGAATTGAAACTACAACCCACAAAACAAACAAATTACCAGAGATTCAAGGTGTTTATCGATAGAAGAAACTTCATCCCCGACCGCAAGTAACGCATCGGATGCCGAAATGAATGCCCGGTAGTTTCCCACCGCCACCTCTTGCATCTGCCTCCGAATTCTCTCCGCATCGACCCGCAAAAGCTCTGGTTCCTACAAAACTATAGCAAATCAATATACAAAGGCAATTATACATATATAGATAACTATGTTTGTCTGCAGCGAGAGACACGGATTGGGGGCACCTTGTGAAGGCGATCAAGAGTGAAGGAAAGGAGTTCCGAGACGTAAGGCTGTTGAGAGATGGAAACCAGTGGGAGGAGACCCGCCACTGTTGCTGTATCATCTGCCGGAGGTTCGGACTCCATTGTCATAACTCGATACTGAATCAAGAGCTCAAATCTCAATTGGATTTAGGGTTTTGATCTCTTTTCTGGAGGTACAAGGAGACACAGATCTGAACAGAGAGACGAACACACACACGTTCTAACTGTGTTTTCCAATTCTGATTTAATATCGCAACTGATTCTGATTTAATAATTCCAATCATCGAATAGATAATAGATTCTAATAAATGAGATTAACCATTAATTGCAAAAATTAACCATTGATCCTAATAATTAGATTCTAATTCTAAATTTGTATCCTTAAAGAATTAAATTATCAAATGCTCAATGTTATAAAACAGATGCAATGTCAATGTAGCCCAATTCAAGGGTGAAATTTAAGATTTAGGGCTCAATTCAAGCTTGAAATGGGTCACATTGTACCATTTTTATAATATTGAGGTTACAATTTGAGAACCTAATTATTATATCTTTTGAGATATAAAGTGAAATTAGCCCTTAAGAGAAATTATATTTGATACCCCTAAAGTTTTATCAAATTTATATGTATACAACGGTGGTCTCCAAAGTTTGGACTTTTTCTCATTTTAATCTCCAATGTTATAAGTGTATCACATTAGTTTATAATATATTGAATTTATTTTTAAGTGATCCTTATATATAATGTCATCCAAATTTTTAACAGTCTCTCCTCGTATGTTTCCCACTTGCTCCCAAATGAAGTGTATGTTAGACAAATCAATGTCTACTTGATCCAAAAATTATAGTAGTAGTCCCAAAGTACATTTTGGTCCCCAACATTAAAATACATTAGAGACTAATGTGATACTATTGTAATATTAGAGGAATAAAATGAAACAGTGAGTATACTTTGAAGACTACGGTCGTGATTTTTTAGGTCAAGGAGACATTGATTTGTTTAAAATGCCCTTCATTTGGTAGCATGTCTAAAGCACATGAGCAAAAACCTTTAAAATTTTAGAATGCATTATACGTGGAGATCACTTAAAAATAAGTTCAATACATCAAGTATCAATGTAATATAATTGTAACATTAGAGACCAAAATGAAAAAAAGTACAAATTTTAGGAATCACAACTGTAATTAATCTAATTTATATTTGATTTCTGAACTACTAAGTAAAACCAACTAAATCCTCCAAATTTTGCTGGTGTGTGAGAGTTCTAGAGTCCCAGTAGGACTCGGTAATTGATCTTTATATTAACCTAGTTAAATTTGGTCTCGAGAAATGTTTTAGGCGCAGTCAGAAGTTTTATAATTCTACTGATATGGGTCTAACAACATAGTTGTTGGATGCCCTTTTTTATCCCCACCTCTTTTTTTTTTAAAACTATGGATTTTTTTGTTTTTGCAAACCACGACCATTTTTGGTAAACCAATGTCGCGTTAACATTTGCTTATCATGACTTAAAAATTGCTATAATTTTTCCATCTAATACTTTGTTCTTGGAGCTTTCTTATTTTGAGCAAGCTAATCCATATCCATCAAATACAATGGCCTCATTTTCTTTTCATTTATCCTCTTTTTTTTTTTTTTTTTGGGGGGTGGGGGGCAAGGGGGGAAGAAGTGTAAGAGCAACTCCAAGAAGACTATGTAAACTAGTTAACAAAAATATATTTTTTTATTACACTATCTACTTTAATTAACCACTTTTTCAAATTCATTCCAACCACGCTATCTATTTTAGCTAACCACTTCAACTAACTTTAACTAACTATTAGTTATTAAATCTAAAATACTATATAATATGTCATGTCATCACCTTATTAATGACAAGACATGCCGATGAAGTTGAATATAAGAAAAGTTGAACGAACGAGAAAACAAAGAAGTGAATATACTGAATGCATTTATTAGGAGTTCCAAAATTCCAAAATTCCAAAATTTAATCATGTTGGATGCATTTATCAGGATGCCAAGCAGTAAGTTCCAAAATTTTATTAGGAGTACAGAAATTTATAAATCATGTTGGATGCATTTAATTTATGGAAATATATTGGGAGGGATTTGCCTTCTCTAAAAATGATCTTAGATAATATGATCCCAGAAATATGTTCTATATACTGGCAATTACACCACCAACAACAGAATCAACACAATGGCTGTCATTCTTAATGAACTATCATACACCAATTTCTTCTTTCAGAACCAAAGCATAATGAAGTCATTGATATTTTGTAGACCACAGCCAATAATAACTAGACAAATAATACATAACAATATGATAAGCAATCCACAGGCACCAATTCACCAACCTAAAAGCAAATAAGCCCAAATGGAAAAATATTCCAAGTTCAATGGTAGAAAATGCTCTAATTAGGCATGCTCAATTTCCACAATCCTGTGTGAATCAAAACCTAGTTGACAAATTGAAGAAACAACTAACTTTAATTTCCCAAATCAGTTAAATTCCATCATAGACTCCAAAGAACTATAAGTCTAAACTCCAAGAACTCAAGTGCCAAAACCTCATAATCAGACTAAATCCTTAAGGTACCCAATTTACCAAATCCAAAAATGAGACAAACCCATCTGAGACAAGAGCTAAACCCAACAATCCAATATTCAAAAACCCCTTATAAAAATCCATCAAAAACCCCTTACTCATCCCAACATAAGAAATCAAAATCTTAAAAACCAACATGTCACAATAACCGAATTGTTCACAGGAAATCCAACAAATAGGTAGAATGCATTCCAACAGGCACATATTGGTGATTGATCTTAGGAAAAAAAAATGGATTGATTTGTGCCTTCTGCGATGAAGCTCAAGATTACCTGGAGAGGGCACTTTCAAAGCTCAAGAGGGTTTGAGATTTGTGCCTTCTGCGAAGAAGCCAGATCTCAAGAGGGATGAAGACGATGAAGCCTTCTATGAACTGATTCAGATGATGAAGCCTTCTGGACGATGAAGACGATGAAGCATTCAAACGATGAACCCTTCTGCGATGAAGCCTCTGGGGGTGTTGTTGGCGCAAAAAATAGAATAGCGACCTCCTTTGCCCTCGCCAGGAGTAGCCAACCAACTAATGCTAATGGGAAATAGCTAGTGTGATAACTAGTCCCTTGGAGACTGCATTTACCGATTGTCTATGTAAAATAGCTAACAAGGATGTTTTATGGAGGCCCTTAGAGTTGCTCTACGAGCAACTCCAAGGAGATTATATAAACTAGCTAGCAAAAATATTTTTTTTTTATTACACTATACTTTAGCTAATCACTTTTCAAATTTACTCCAACCACGCTATCTATTTTAACTAAACACTTCAACTAATTTTAAGTAACTATTAATTATTAAAATCTAAAATACTGTATAGTATGTCATGTCATCACCTTATTAATGACATCACATGCTGACGAAGTTGAACAAAGGAGAAAACAAATAAGAGAATATACTAGATGCATTTATCAGGAGTTCCGAAATTTTAAAATTCCAAATTTTAATCATGTTGGGTGCATTTATCATGATGCCAAGCAGTAAGTTCCAAAATTTTATTAGGAGTTCAGAAATTATAAATCACGTTGGATGCATTTAATTTATGGAAATATATTGGGAGGGATTTGCCTTCTCTAAAAATGATCTTAGATAATATGATCCCAAAAATATGTTCTATATACTAGCAATTGCACCACCAACAACAGAATCAACACAATGGCTGTCATTCTTAATGAACTATCATATACCAATTTCTTCTTTCAGAACCAAAGCATAATGGAGTCATTGATAGTTTGTAGACCATAGCCAACAATAACTAGACAAACAATACATAACAATATGCTAAGCAACCCACAAGCACCAATTCACCAACTTGAAAGCAAATAATCCCAGATGGAAAAATATTCCAAGTTCAATGGTAGAAAATGCTCTAATTAGGCATGCTCAATTTCCACAATCCCGTGTGAATCAAAACCCGATTGACAAATTGAAGAAACAACTAACTTCAATTCCCCAAATCAGTTAAATTCCATAATAGACTCAAAAAGAACTATAAATCTAAACTCCAAGAACTCAAGTGCCAAAACCTCAGAATCAGACTAAATCCTTAAGGTACCCAATTTACCAAATCCAAAAATGAGACAAACCCATCTGAGACAAAAGCTAAACCCAACAGTCCAATATTCAAAAATCCATCAAAAACCCCTTACTCATCCCAACATAAGAAATCAAAATCTTAAAAACCAACATGTCACAATAACCGAATTGCTCACAGAAAATCCAACAAACAGGTATAATGCATTCCAAAAGACACATATTGGTGATTCGTCTCAGGAAAAAAAATGGATTGATTTGTGCCTTCTGCGATGAAGCTCAAGATTACCTGGAGAGGGACACTTTTAGAGCTCAAGAGGGTTTGAGATTTGTGCCTTTTGTGATGAAGCCAGATCTCAAGAGGGATGAAGACGATGAAGCCTTCTGTGGACTGATTCAAACGATGAAGCATTTAGACGATGTACCCTTCTGCGATGAAGCCTCTGGGGGTGTTGTTGGCGCAAAAAACAGAATAGCAACCTCTTATGCCCCTTGCCAGGAGTAGCTAGCCAACTGATGCTAATGAAAAATAGCTAGTGTGATAGCTAGTTCCTTGGAGACTGCATTTACCGATTGCCTATGTAAAATAGCTAACAAGGGTGTTTTATGGAGGCCCTTGGAGTTGCTCTAAGAAGGAAATTTAATATTTTGATACATATGCCTTGTAGGAGACACAGGCGCAACAGGTATTGCTCAATCAGTCCCAAGAATTTCTGAATTCGAATCTCTATATTCACCCTTTAAGAATCTCAAACATCAAACTCCACCCTCCTCTGTTTGGACTTGTGTAAACGGAGTGAATAATCAACAACATGATGCCCATGCCAATCGAATTTTATTGGGTTCATGCCAAAAAAAAATTAAGAAATTTAGAAGTTGGTTCTCTTTTGAAGACTTATTTGGTGATAAGTCTATTGAATAAACTTGTTTAATATTAAGTCCATTTTGATCTCTATTGTCTAAAATATCATCATT